TGAGCAGCAAAGCTGTGGCCTTATCTAGAAAATGACAACACCAGTAAAATAAAGTCATTTGAATGAGTAACCAAGTAGGGTGTGTTACATACAGGTATACCTATGCTTTACTTAGGTGCGTTACATACAGGCCTACATATGCTTTAGCTACTTTTTCTATCCTCATCAGCATCTATAACCCTGTGGAGACTGTGGCATTTAAAAAGACACAGCAGGTGGTTAATAAATAGAAGCAGTTGAAAGGGATTTAAACTAAAGCTTCACAGGATGGTAAAACATCACTGCTTCAGCTTGAGAGTGATTCCAGTTAGAACATGAAATAGCCTCGCTTCACCAGCTGGGACTCTTCTTTTTAAAAAAACATCAAATAATCTGTAGAAATCCTCTTTGATTTTTAAAGATGAGTTGGTCATCACTATGACTAGGAACAGTTTTAAAATAAAAAATTAATTATAAGAAATAAAATAGCTTTAGTTATGCATGTATGAGCATACCAAAGTAGAAGCTAGACACACGAAAAGCCCACTCAGCCCAACAACTCAGTACTTCCATGGTTATTTTTCCCAGTTTATATAATGTGTTATCATTGTGTTTTGGATATTTTTTACCTGATGCATAAGTAACATAAAATTGTTCATATTAGTGGCATACCATGTAATATGTGATACATGTTTACATTTTTTTTAGTGTAGCCCCAGCTGGCCAGAAACTTAATATGTAGACCAGGCTTGGCCTTTGTCTCGTAGAGAGCCACCTGCTTCTGCCTCCCATGTGCTGGGATTAAAGCCATGCACCTCCATGCCAAGTTCTGAAGTTCACATTTGTATAAAGTTGAAGTCAGGTTAAACATACTTATCTCCTCAAACACTCAAAACATTTATCATTTCAATGGTGATGAACACTTCTATAACTCTCTATTCTATCTCTGAAGCAAACGTACATACTCGTTATCTGTAGTCACTGTGCTGTCAGGAGTGCCCCAAATCACTCTTATTTTGAACACAAAATCTTAGTGTTTGCCATAAGCTGCTTTAAGCATCACATTCTGCAGGTAACAGAACAGAAAATACAAAGCCCTACAATCACACATTAAAAAAACAGCCCTCCAACATTATTATCCCAATCCCCAAATAGTTTATATAAACAAAAATCATGATTTTTTTTCAAATCTTGAAACTCTCAGTGAATCACTACTTAGCAGTTAAAAAATGGTTAGAATGAAGATGAAATAGTACATTACAGATAATAGAACAATCCAAATTTTAGTTCCCAATGTCTAAAAATGTACTGTTTTTTTAGTGGAGCTCAGTAGTAGATTAAATTGCTCCGTGTTTATCATCTACATTTTCTTGCTTTCCCTAAAAGGCAGGCTGGGATGTGATGAGTGGTAAAGCACCTGCTCATTATGACTCCTATTCATCCAACAAATCTGCTACACTTTAGTCAAGTCCAGCAAACTTCCATCTTCATGCCATTCCCTCTTGCTGTCCCTAGATGTGGTTAATTGTCTCCTCCTTTAAAAGCCTGGGAAAGAAGGTATTAAGGTTACAACTGACAGGTACTGTTGCTTCCTTTACATGGGTCAGCAGAGCTGCTGCTTTCCCATCAACTGGTCCTTATTTGCATCCTCCAGAGGTATGTTAATTTAGAATTGAGCATCAAGCCCACTCTAACTATAAAGGGACCACCCTACAGTATATTAAAAGGTTCACGTCAATGTATGCAGTTTAAGTGTGCATGCATATAATTAACTAGACACATTACCACTGTGAGCTGCTAATTTGGAATGAGACACAAAAGACTGGAATGTGCAGAAGGGAAAAAAAAACCTTTAAAATTAAAATGACTACATAATGAAAACTGCTTCATGCTGTGTCTACTATTTTCCTGTAAACTTAATATAACTGTAAATATATTTTAATGAACAGTAGAGAGAGGCAATTACAAAGAGCAAAGGAGGGCAGCACAGCAGCAAAACATCATCAGAATAGTTCTTTGCCTTCATATTAAAAGTGCTGCCTGAAGACAGAGGATGAATTATAACTTAATTTCAGAGGAAAAGTGCTTCCTATTATTTTAAAGCCATATACCTATTTGCCAGTGATCTGGAAATGAAAACAGAACGTTGTGTGAAAAGGTACGGAGCGGGGGAAGAAAGGAATGCTAACTAACAAAACAGAGGAAATCCAAACCTCACTGTTAAAATATCTTATTACATTTTTACTGTTTTGTTAAAATAGCTTCATATTCACTGAAGATTTTCCTAGAACATGAATGAGTTCTTAATAGTAAGGATCAACAGCCAGTACAAGTATCATACAAAAAAACACATTTGAGAGTTTGAAAGATTTTATTTAAATGCTTTCTGTATCTTGGAGCAGTTGTATAATAGATTTGCAACTACAAAATAAGTGTGACAAATATCATTACTTAAATTTTAGAAAAAGAATGTAGAACTTTTGACAGAGATAGATTTTTGTTGTTAGCATTATGATCCAGGTGGTAGAAAAGGAAAGCCAATAGCAGGAAACATCTACCAACTATCTGTAACACTGAGCCTGTGGGGCAGTGGGGCTAGAAGATGAAATGTCCTTTGAAACAACCCAGACTTTCAGTCCATCAAGTGCGATGAACTCTAATTCTTCAAAAGAGGAACAGAGTTTGCCAACCATTGGGGGAAAATAATCTATACTAACTTTAAATGGAATGTAAGACTAGATTGTAAAATCTGAGTGAATAGAGAAGTTTTATTGAATGCATGTTTCCTACTTTGCATACTGAACATATCCTATATCTTTAGAATGTTAAATGAAGACGTTGGGCTTGGTTAAAAGATGAATAACAGCATCGATTTTTTTCTTGATTTATGTTTATACAGTCAATTATTAGAAGTCTATAGACTAAATGGGAATATGGGTTACCAGACAGATACTTTAAATTACATTAAAAATGATATGGATGCAGTGCTATTAAGAATTCTAATTACTCATTACTCATCGATGTAGCATACTGGAAAAGCACAGTGGCCATGTGCTTGAAATGCATCAACCTCTACACATACCTCCAACTTCTAGTAATAATGCCTTTCTCAGTGGATTCAGTGTTGGTATGCCATGCATATTTATGGAATTGTGGAATTTTATTTATCATAGATAGGTTTTGTGACTGACCTAGTATAGATCTTCCCCTAAACCAAATAAACCAAATAAGTGAAATAATCTACCCAGTGAATCTGGCTAGTTAGTATACTGGTTTTCCATTTTTTCCTGTTTTTCAAGTAACAGTTTTAACAAAACATACATACATATAGCAATTACTTCACAATTCCTATTTCAATTTATGTTTTCTTTGAATCTTTCCCCCTCAACTTGGAAGCTTCGTCAGTAAATTTCAAATATACAGTTTAAAAACAGTATATTTAATAATACTAATCAATATTATAAATGGTCAAAATAATGTGATTTTTTGGCATTCTCTTAACTTGACACAGTAAACAAGCCTTCATTCATTTCATACGATTTTTCTTAACAGAATCATAACAGCATTTAAGTGCTATCATACTTTCTCATTCCCTTCAACCAAGGGTGAAGCTAAAGCAGATCTAAAAAGTTCAAGCTCCTTCTATTTTTAATAATTCTAATCTAAAAGCAAATATTGCTAATTTCAGAAGAAGAGATATTTTTAAAAATACAAACCAAAGGATATTATTTACAGCATAAGATTCAGAAGATTGTTAAAGAATAATCTTTTAATGTAGAACTTTACAAAATTTACTAAATAATGAAAACCAAAATATTGATATCAAAGCATATTTAAATAAGTTTTGCTGACTCCATTTTTATATAAACCTAGTCACATGAGTTTTGTTCCTATGTTATATGCCCATTTCATCAAATAACTTAAGCCTATTAACAAATGCTTTGATGGTACTTGGTCCATGGAGATTTCCACTAATTGCCTTGTGCTTTTAACAGTTCCAAATACATATTACAATTGTTTATTAAAAAATGACTAGAAAGCAGTTGCTGTATGCCTCACATCAGACTGATGACTATTAGGATGCACCAAGAAAGGTCTGTCGGTCTACATGATTATTATGTGGGGACATGATATCAAAACAGAGCCTTTGCAACTGTAGTCATTCTGGACTGCTAAATATTTAACAGTGATTCTGACTGTCAGTGAAAAATAGGAGGCTTCAATGCATAGCTGTTTTCAGAGTTCACAGATCTTTAACAAACCAAAGAACACAATGAAAGGAAAATCTCAAGACAATTATAGCGTAAATTTCTGGAAGTAGGAAACACATTCAGTCCAGAACCTCACCCACATCATCTACTGTCATACTATGACAGACATTTAATAAAGGTTTATTGATTTTTTATGACATGATATTAAAATTTACTACAGTGATTAAAATTATTTCCAAAATTACAACAGTTACTTGAATGAGCAGGAGATGACATGGTACAAAGGAAATTATTTTGATTTTGGAGTCATACATTTTAAGGTCTGGTTTGAATCCAACCAGCTGTTTCTTTGAATGACTTAGTAAACCTGAGTTTCAGGTTTCTTGTCTGTAAAATGCAAGTAAAAAGTACTTGCTTTTCAGTGTCATCAGGATAAATGAAGTGTTCTGTCCTGATCATCTAGCAAAGTATACAGAACAAAATAACAAGCAAGGAACAGAATCGCATGCTTGTTGGATGGAATCATGAAGTGTACAAAAATTAACATCAGAGTATCAGTAATTTAATTATTTGTGTGATGCAAGCATTCTGTACCTGAACATACTATATAGGACAGCACATTTATTAAAACAGTGACAAAGGCTGATATTCTGCATAGTAGATTAAATACTTATGATAACCACATGGTGCCAAAGAACAGTACTCTTTATCTATTAACCAACTGTAAAATCTTTCCACAAATACACTTGATACTTGTAAAAAGCACACATTATCTATACCCTTCTATGCTGTGAGCCCGTCAGTCCTTACCAGTAACTTCCAGTGGACGAAGGCATATTGCATCCAAAAAGTAACATATGATGGACAGTATCCATGCTGGCACGAGGCTTGAAGTCAACTGTTATGAGAAAATGATAGGTGAATGTGAATACAAGTTATAGTCTATGCTCCAATGTCACAAGAGACTACATCTTTGAATGGTCTGAATATCTTTGTAACAACGATGCTTTGATGCTTTAATAATAAAATGCCCTGATACTTGAATTGCTTTATTCTTTAAGATGAGTATGACTTCATTGTTTGATTTGGCAGGAGAGTAACCATTGCATATTAAAAAGAGAAAATAATAATAAATAGGCTGATAATGACTACTACTACTAACACGCACACTCACACACACACACACACACACACACACACACACATACAGCCATACACACGCACATACTTTAAAATGGATGATCCATTTTGAAGTGGTGAGAATATTATGTGGGTATAAAATGAAAGCTCCAGGCTATTTATTCACACTATATTTCCTTCTCAGTTTCAGCAGAGTCCTGTGTACCAGAAAACATTGCACAATGATGCAGTAAAACAGAAGCCACAGTGAGTGGTCAAAACATGAGCAAAGGATCACAATACATCTATATCACCTTAAAATAACAATAGCAGTCAGTGGGTGTCTATATCTTACACACACACACACACACACACACACACACACACACACACACGCACACACACATGCACACAACATGGAAGTCATTTTTTTCAGGAAACAAAAATATATGTGGAAAATATATCTTTTTGAAAATATAGAAGATGTGGAATTATATCATAGGAGGTGAACGGAGTGCACTTGTTAAAACAATACTGACACTTATGTAATAGTGTTTTCCTTTTTCTCCTAAAACCAATGGTGAAAGATCTACTATCTACAGTTGCTATTAAGCATAAGCTCCCTTTCCTGGAATGGGACTGTTGTTCCTTTTGTCTTTGCATAAATGCTACTTGGGATGCAGTAGTAGCTTATGTGTTACTGGTACATATAAAAATGCCAAATTGTTAAAAAATCATCTTAAGATGCAGGTGTTGGATGAGAAACTATAACCTTTACCTATTATATCTGGCTCCATGACAAAATTACTAAAACATTATTTGTTCTGACAATATTTACCAAGATATGAGTATTTATCAGATAAAAATGTTCGACAGCACACTATAGCACAAGACTTGCAGGGCATGGCTGACCAGACATCACAGGACACTTATTCTGTCTCACACTGACTTGCAGCTTTCACAGAAAAGCAAAAGCTTTTCACTTACTGTACTGAAAATAAGAACCTGAAGCTCAAAAATCAAATCTTGAGGTTTTCACACTATCATTTAACAAGCTAAAAAAGAGGATGGCTAGAATATGGTTATATAAGGACATAACTTGAGGCTTTGTTTTCTATCACCAAAGAATACATAAGAACTAGGAGACTGAAGATGTTTTGGAAGGAAAGAAGAAATTGAAAGTTGCAAGAGTTCACAGTTCATAGAAAATCATATTGTTAGCAAGCCTACATTTGCTGGCCAGAGGAACAGAGGTAACAAAAGGGTGTCCATCTGAACAGACCATTCTCAAATTGGGTGAAACACTTCCTTGCTCCCTTCTAGAATCTTCCCAGGTACCTCTCTAGAGACGTTTTCGGCAGAAGCAAAATCAGAAGTGCTCCGAGATGTAAGCACATGCCATTTATTTGTCTTTTATTCACTTTAAACTTATTTTGGTGGATGGATGTCCTGAAGCTGTAGTTACAGGTTGTGAGCTGCCCAAAGGTGGCTGCTGGGAAATGAACTGGAATACTTTGGAAGAACAGGAAGCACATTTAACAACTAAGCCATCTCTGCCGCCCCTACCTTTTTTGTTCAACTGTCCTTCCAGTAAAAGAAAACATAACTGAGTATCTATGAATGGTTTTCAAATAAGAGTTTGAGTCCTTTGCTTTTGTGTAGCTGATGTAGATGTCCTCCCTTTAGATTCCTAGTGGGGCAGATGGTTTCCTACCATTGAGTCACCCCTGGAATTTTGGTAACAAACCCTCAAAGCCAAAGGTAGGTTATTAAAAGAATTAAGCTTTTAGATGCAAGATAACTTGAGTCATAGGCACCAGGCCAAAATTTTCAGCCAAGTTGGAGCTATAACCCTCTTTTGAAAAGTAGAGAAGTGTACATTTGGCAGTCCCCCACAGGTAAAACCTGCAGCTGTACAGGTGGACAGAAGCATCCAGAAGCAAGTAGGAGCCTTGGAGGTGGCTCTGGACAGAGGGACAAGGAAAGCCTTCAGCTGTCAGGATTCCTTCAGAAAACACCAATGGAGACTTTATTTTTTAAAACTATATTAATGCTACTTTTTCATTAAAAAAACTTTTTCATTTAAAAAAACAAACTTTTTCATTAAAAAATCTTTTTCATTAGAAAAAAAAAACAAAATATATATTAACACTGTGGGCTGTCCCTGAGAAACAAGGCAAGAACCTTTTGGGGAAAAAAGTGGGTCACCAGTAATTTTGTAAAAGAAAATACTTATGGGAAAAAATGAAGGCGAGAGGAATAGCAGGTGAAGGTAATGACGTGAGGAATAGCCGGTGAAGGCAGTGACTGAGGAACAGCCGGTGAAGGGCGGTGACGTGAGGAATAGCCGGTGAAGGCGGTGACGTGAGGAATAGCCGGTGAAGGCGGTGACGTGAGGAATAGCCGGTGAAGGCGGTGACGTGAGGAATAGCCGGTGAAGGCGGTGACGTGAGGAATAGCCGGTGAAGGCGGTGACGTGAGGAATAGCCGGTGAAGGCGGTGACGTGAGGAATAGCCGGTGAAGGCGGTGACGTGAGGAATAGCCGGTGAAGGCGGTGACGTGAGGAATAGCCGGTGAAGGCGGTGACGTGAGGAATAGCCGGTGAAGGCGGTGACGTGAGGAATAGCCGGTGAAGGCGGTGACGTGAGGAATAGCCGAGGAATAGCCGGTGAAGGCAGTGACTGAGGAATAGCCGGTGAAGGCAGTGACTGAGGAATAGCCGGTGAAGGTAATGACGTGAGGAATAGCCGGTGAAGGTAATGACGTGAGGAATAGCCGGTGAAGGCAGTGACTGAGGAATAGCCGGTGAAGGCAGTGATGAGAGGAATAGCCGGTGAAGGCAGTGACTGAGGAATAGCCGGTGAAGGCGGTGATGAGAGGAACAGCCGGTGAAGGCGGTGACTGAGGAATAGCCGGTGAAGGCGGTGACGTGCACGTCTTGGTTTTCATGAGGAGGGAAAAAAATGAGCTAGTCTTGGCCTCTGCTTATGCACAGGGATCTCCTTTTATCCTCTGTGTGGTAAAGGTCACAGTCTAACCCTTCAAAAGTAAATTCTTCAACCATACTTTTTTCTTTTTAACTGATTCTGATGTTCTCTCTTAGTAGACTAAGTGCTCAGTGCTACTTTTTTACTTCACACTGAATTTTGACTAGATATAGGTTTGATTTTGTTTCTAAAACTAGAGAAAAAAAGTCTTTAAGTGGTAGTGAAAAAATTACACAGTTCCCTCTCATAAAATCTATTCTTCCTGATTCATACATTCTTCCAGAAACTCAATATCTAACTAAAATGCTAAAAGCATTCAAGGTACAAGGTAAAAACAGGATATCAACCATTTTTTTTCATATCCCAGAGAAAAAATATAATACCTAAGTATCTTTGTAATAATGGATCAAAGTATAGTTCACTGAAAGCTGAAATGAAAAATACCTCAAGTAAAAAAGTGTCATATCGAAATGTAAATCTAAAGCAAACACCAGATGACTTACAATAATGTAACACTTAGACAATTCCATTGAAAGGCTTGCTGCCAGTGTGAGGAAGGGGACAAATGGGAAAAGATTAGCATGACAGGTTCATTTCCTGGGCTGGTTCTATTCCTACTTTCTATAGAAATAATAAGGTCCACCCACACTTGTGAATAAGGTCCACTGAACAGAAGACACACACATGATTTGGAAGGAGATTTCAATAGAACATGAAACAGAATATAGTAAAAGGAAATTGTATCTTAAAGGAAATTGCTCCTTTCTTCCCCCATCCCTCCCTGCCCCATCATATTACAAAGACAGGGTCTTGGGAGGGAAAGAGGTAGCAGGTAATAGTGACAGCATTTGTAGTTCTGATGTGCAGAATAAACAAAGTCAGCCTTGGAAGGGTGAAAGATTGCTCAAAAACACAACCTTGCAAGAATGCATGGGAGTATTGCGGCTGTTAAGATTAAAAGTGCCACCAGCCTTCAAAGTCATTAATAAGACAGCAGTAGCTAACTTGGGAATGGTACTTCAGTCTTGATGGGAGCCAACAGTTAAGATCACTTGATGTATGAGATCAGGGAAAATTGTATAGGTAAGGCCCAGTAACTAAAGACCTCAGAAGGAATAAAACTCCAGAAATAGTAACTCAGGCACACTAATAAAAGGAAATACGACGACACTGAACTGTGGAGGTTGGAGGACTTCTCAAAGGGTAACGTCATCTGAAATGAAAGACTTAACAGTAGGCATGTGGACAGCACACTGAGGAGAAAGATAACTAGGTCTATTTCTGGAATTCTAAGCAAAATTTGTACTAACTGCATGAGGCTCTTTGGGATTTATGGCTTCCTTTAGCTGTGATCAGACAACAATCAGGGTCATAAAATTTTATAAGAATGTGACCTACGAGAGATTTTCATTTAGCACTTGGCTCTGTCTCCATTTTTCCTTTCCAAGTGAATATTGAGGCCTAGGTCTGTATGTCAAGTTTGATATATCAGCCAGACTGAGGATGTGGAAAGATTGTGAAGAACACACACAGCCTAGTAGAGGAACCAGGGACTTGGAAGATATTCACATGCACTTAACCAGTTCTAAGTTACAACTGGAAATGGCCACATCACCCTTTTTAACTAAAAATATGCATTACAGAAATACCATCAACCTTGTATAAACAACTTATTGAACAGAAAAAGCAACAGATTTGCAAATTCAAGTTTGGATCTGCAGAACTTTGGCATTCTAGAACTGCTGTGTGTGTGTGTGTGTGTGTGTGTGTGTGTGTGTGTGTGTATGTGTG